CAATCTTTCTGCCATGTCACAGCACCGTGAAACATTTGCTGTCTTCCAAATATTCCTCCCCTCCAGCAGGGAATTGTTTTATTGTCTATCAGAGAAAGGAAAGACAAACCCCATAAAACATCCCAGACAGCTGCCAGTATTTAATGTAACTGCCTGGGAGAAGAGAAATAGAGAAACATTTCATACAATGATCCAAGTTATGATCTTTCACCATCCAAAGACAAGGTAGTGAAGGTGCTGTTGGTGATCTCTCCTAAATAAATGGGCTGAATTCAGGAAAATAGCAATGAATTGATCAAATTCTTTGCACTCTACAAAGATTTTCTTTAAAACCTTTCAGAATCTTCTGTGTGGGGGGATCACATTACAGGGGCTGTTTTCATGCAAAAACTATGCATGTCATTTATCAATCACACAATGAATCAATCAGACACTGGATGTGTAATACTATCTCTAGGCATTAAAGCTGGAAGTGAAACACCACGAGCTTCACAAGAGCTGTGTCAGGAGATAAGGCTGGCTTAGATCAGCTCAGAGCTAGCACTGCACTCCAACTCCAGCCCAAACCTGGGATTAATACTGCCCAGAGCTCTGTGGTGGTGCTTACTTAGAGAAAATGGGAGAGGAAAATGAGCAGGAATTTGTGTGCAGCTGCCTGCAAATCTGCCAGCCCCACTTGCAGCTCTGCCTGCAGCCCTGTTCTCCTTCCATCCCTTTCTGCAGCCCTGCTCCCTTTCCAGCCCTTCCTGCTCCCCTTCCAGCCCTGCTCCCCTTCCAGGCCTTCCTGCCATGGGCAGTGCTGTCTGCACTCCCCAGGTTTGTCTGGGCTCAGTCCTGTGACACAGGAGGGCAGCACCAGGCTCAGGAAATTCAGGAAGGGCTGAAAACACTTCCCACCAAGGGGCCGTGCTGGCTTAAATGAAACTTTGCTATGAAACAAAAGCAGGGTTTGCTCTTTGGGAAACCTTTGCTATGAAATAGAAGCTCTGGTGTGTTTGCTCTGCTGTCCCACCAATGAGGCTCTCATGGGGTCAGGGGTATTGTGGGGGTGTAAACTCAGATGTCACAGGAGATAAAAAGGGTTGGCTTGGGGAGGGGGTGCTTTTCTTCCAGTCCACAGCATTTCTTGTCCTGCAGCCCAGGGTGGGCACCATCCTCCCTGGCACAGGTGCTGTGCCCTGTACATTTCCAGCTCAGCACCACCAATCAGGCTCAGAACTCTGGCACTCAGTGGGGCTGGTGAGCACATGAGCTCCATCCTGGGGGGGCAATGTGGCAGCTGGAAACAGGAGATGAGGATGGAGCCTGATTCCATCTGCCCTCACCTCCCTGCCTGCAGAAACCCCTCCTGCAGGCACAAGGACATCCTGGGGCAGCACAGCAAGGTGTGAGGCACCTGAGGATTTGGTTCTGCTGCAGCTGAGCCATGGCTCAGCCTCTCTCCTCCCCAAGGGCAATAAAAGCACTGGTCCCTAATGAGTCGTTTTTCATTCCATTTGCTCTGTGTTTATTTTTGCTTCTCACCTTCTGATCCAACTCTCATATTACTAAAATCAGAGGGTTGCTTTTATTACCTCATTTGGACACTGATCTTACAATTTGGATGAACCAGCTCACCCTTGTAATAGGAAAGATGAGACCATTGCTGGTTTTATCCCCATTTTTAGGGGGGCTGCTATAAAAGCTGAAGAGGAGTGGGAAAAGAAGAAACCTCAGGCAGTTTTTTCCCCTTGCCATCCCCTGAGCTCACCTTGGTCATTCTGGGCTGAAATTCAAAAGAGCAAAAGCAGCAAAGTGCCTCAACTTCAGCTCTCTCCAGAGGGAGCAGCACTGTGGCAGGAAAATCCAGCTCTGCTTGTGGGGAAGATGAAATTCCACATCTGCTTTTGCAGAAAAAACCTGCAAAAATCCAGTGGGAAACAGCCTCTGGCACTGGCACTGATGTGTGTGCCTATCCCACCCTTCCTGGGCTCCTCAAAACAGCTTCAGGTTGTTGTGGTGAAATGGGACATTACAAGAAGACAGTGTGAACAGCTGAGAGGCAACTTCACATCCAGATCATCCAGCAAAACAGGGATCTTCCTCCAAAATCCAGAGCAGGAATGCAGACACCACCAAACAAACACAAGCACCTTTTAAATGATGCTGGCTATTGTTGAACAATAACAACTGAGTTCATTAGATTGCTACAGAGATCAAACTGAACTTAAATTAACCTTGAAAAAAGGGGGAATCAGCACATTTCTCCTGTGTACAGCACCATCAGTCGTGTGCTGTTGCTTCACTCTCTGTTTCATTGCTACAGTCAATTTTTGTAAAGCATCCACAGCTTTTCAAACAAAGTGGAAGCCAAAAGATTGATAAGGACCTTGCTGGGCTGTGCTGCAGAAGGTCTCCTTGCAGACACATGGTCTTTAGTACTTCAAAAAGGAAGGCAATAACTCATTTTCCTCTGTAGAAGTGAACCCTTTTGATGAGCCTTGCTCCCAGCTTGGGTCTGTGTGGGAGCAGAGGGAAGTCAGGAGGGAAACCATCACTTAGTGCTGCCAGAGCACCAAGCGCCTGCCTGCAGCACTAAATCAGAGACACAGCACTCTCTGCCTGACTTCCCAAATGGGTCTGGGCAGGTGGAACCTCCTTCCCCCTCCCCAAAGTCCTGCCAGGCCCCAGCTGAGCTGCCATCAGCCTTTACACCTTGTTACCTGTGCAAACCCAGAGACCTGGGATATTTCTGTGTCTGCTCTGGGGTGCCCTGTCCCCCAGGGGAGCACTGACTTTGACCTCATCCATGGAGAAAGTTTCCTAAACTCCAGAATAGACTGGAATCCACAAAAGTGTGAAATAGATTATAGAGAGCAGTGTAGGTGTATCACTTGGTGAGAAATTGAGGTTTTGGGATTTTTAGTGTGTTGTGGATGGAAGCAAGGTGGAGGGCACAGGGTGTCATCCTGGACTTCTTCTTCCTTCTTCCTCCTTCTTCATGGGTTTGGGTGGCATTTTGTAATTGTGCAGAAAAGTCCACATTGTGGGCTCTTTGGGATCAGTTATTGGGTTAAAAGGGAAATAATCTAGGTGTCAGCGCTTAATTGGATAGTTTAGCTTTAAAAGCCCTTGTACCAAGAGATTGTTGGCCATTTCTGTGGTGCTTTTCCAGTGCACTGAGCCTGGTGTGGACAGTGTGCAAAACTCTAGATAACAATAAACAAGAACCTGAAGACTGAAAAGATCCAGTGCATCTCTTTCCTGACACAAAACCACTCCAGGAGAGTCAGGGGAGCGCCTGGGAGGGCCCAGGCAGAGTCCCAGAAGTTGGGAATCAGCAAAGGTACCCTGACAGTTCCCACAGCAGTGCTGAGCAGCACAAGGCAGCAGAGGGGCAGTGATGGCAGGACAGACAGGACAGACAGGACAAACAGGACAGGCAGGACAAACAGGACAAACAGGACAGGCAGGACAGACAGGACAGACAGGACAAACAGGACAGGCAGGACAAACAGGACAAACAGGACAGGCAGGACAAACAGGACAGGCAGGACAGGCAGGACAGACAGGACAGACAGGACAAACAGGACAAACAGGACAGGCAGGACAAACAGGACAGGCAGGACAGACAGGACAGACAGGACAAACAGGACAAACAGGACAGGCAGGACAAACAGGACAGGCAGGACAGACAGGACAGACAGGACAAACAGGACAAACAGGACAGGCAGGACAGGCAGGACAGGCAGGACAGACAGGACAAACAGGACAAACAGGACAGGCAGGACAGGCAGGACAAACAGGACAAACAGGACAGGCAGGACAAACAGGACAAACAGGACAAACAGGACAAACAGGACAAACAGGACAGGCAGGACAAACAGGACAACAGGACAGGCAGGACAGGCAGGACAAACAGGACAGCCTCTGCTTGTCCTTTTCCAGTCACCCAGACAGAGAAAATCCTGGGCAGCAAAGCAAGGTCCAGCCTGGGAGGGAAGGGCTGATTCACATCTCTCTGAGGCCAGGCCTGTGGCTCACCTGCACTCAGGACTGCACACACAGAGGTCCCTCTGTCCTGTCCCTCTGTCCTGCCCTGCCAGAGGACCCCCAGTGCCAGCCCCTGCTCCCTTTGGTCCTTTGCACTACACCCCTTGTTTCCACTGGAACAATCCTGCTCCCCAGAACTTCATTCCCCCCACACTCCTTAATTTTCCTGCAGTGAAATATAACTGGGAAAGCTTTGAGGAGGCTCCAGACTTCATTTCAGCACAAACAATTCCCAAATTACCATAATATCATGTACTGGCCTCAAAAACACCACACAACCACTACCTCCCTCCACAAAGGTTTCTCCCTAAATTCTTTTATGTCATTGATAAGCATCAGTTAATGAATAATAACAGCAGTAAATGCCTTAAAGGGACCAAAGCATGATAAGTAGCAGCCAGGAGTGGGCTGCCACAGGAGGGACCACAGATCAAAGGGGAATGCTGACTCAGCTGCTTTGTTGCTACACTGGAACAATTTATCTGAATCCCAGTAGGTAGAAATTAAAACTATTTGTAGGAAAAAAAAAACAACAACTCTACAATGTGAAGGTCTCCCCCTAATATTTGTCTCCACTAAACTATGCATGAGAGCCTCCCACCCTTCAGAAAAGGGATAAAAAAAGCAGGACTGGATTGTACTTGAAGAAATACAGCAGGCAGAGGGAGGGCAGGTGAGACAGGCAAACAGTGACAAATAAACATGATGGCAACACTTGGCAAGGTGTTTCTGAGGTCTGAGCATTATTTTGGAGGAGATGAGGCAGGGATGCAGCCACGTGGGAAGGGGAAGGGAAGGAGCAGGGCTAGAGGCAAACAGTGCCTCATGTTCTGGGGCAGAGCCACTGCCATGGAGAGAGGAGTGGAGAGAGGAGGAGGCACTGATCAATCTAGGGCTGCCAGCTCAATGTGTTTTTCAGCAGAAACTCTTGGGAGTTTTGGTGGAACAGAATAAAGGCAGCTCCTTACCTTGGCCTCCAGCGTGTTCAGCCTCTCGCTCATGTCAGCCAGCCTGGTGCAGTTCATGCACTCTAGAGAGAACAGAACACAGGCATGTCACAGAGAGAACAAAACACAGCCATGTCACACTGCCAGCTGCTCTGTGTGCTCACCCACTGCTCCAGGCTGACCCATTTATCCAGGGATCATGGAAAAGTGAGTCAAGATCAGTTATGGAGCAAAATAAATATTCAAATCCAGTGCACAGGTCAGCAGCCACGTTACATGAACCTTGTTTGGGGATGTTCAGTGGGGTAGAGTGTGAAATGAAGGTCCCAAAATGCAGAAGGTAGATGAAATAAAAATCAGTTTTGAGAATTTTCATGCTGCCAACCAGCATGGCCTGCTGTCATAGGCAGAGACACTTGTCCTGCCACTGGTGCAGGCTGGTGTGGCCCCTGCTCCCGCCTCACAGACACCAGGCTGCACAACCTTCATTCCCTTTAATACTCTCCCCTCTATTTTCCTGCTTAAATAGCAAGGAAAGCAATGAATCCACAAAATACCCATCTCTGTGGGGTCCTGCTCCATCCCTGGGCTCCCAGGGATGTTACCACTCCCAACAATTGAGACAGAGCATCCACCTCAGTGACAGCCAGGAAACCCAAGGCAGATCCCAGGGCTGAGGCAGCCCAGAGCTGCAGCATGAAGTGGTTTCCACCTCCCTTTGCTGCAGAGGAGCAGCTACCAAAGCAGTCCTGACAGGAGCCTCAGTGAGAACAAACACTGCCAGAAGGAGCTCTGAGTGCAGGTTGAAGTGGCTGCTCCCTCCAAAGGACATTCCTTATCTAAACACAAGGCTGCTGCTTTACCTCTGGTTTCATCTCAGCAATTTTGAAGTGAGTGAAGGAGGATAAAGCCCTGAACAGAGATTTAATCAACAAGGTGCTTTCCCAGTGCTTTGCAGCAAGGTGGAACTGCCCACTCCCAGCTCTCAGAGACCCCTCACCTCTCATGACTTCTGAAGCCCAGCAGCTCTCAAAAAGGGAAAATGATTTAGAGCATGGAGCATTTCAGAGGATAAACCATCCATATTCAGGTGATGAATCACAGCTTATGTCCCGTAGAGCAGAAACACATTTCTGTGTGTGCTTTGTGTTCCTTAAGGGGCAGAGTCTTTCATTGTCTCAGTTTCCATTGACTGGCCATAGAAGTCTGTCAGACACATTTACACATTTTATGAAAAATCCTTTCCTTAGGATTTTTCCTCCTGAGAAGCTGAGAGGCCTCAGGAACAAAATGTAAACATTGATTATCTGCTGCTGTGGAATGGAACAGGTGCATCTGGGATTGGTCTCATGTGGTTGTTTCTAATTAATGGCCAATCACAGTGAGCTGGCTCAGACTCTCTGTCCAAGACACAAGCCTTTGTTATTCATTCCATTTCTTTTCTATTCTTAGCTAGCCTTCTGATGAAATCCTTTCTTCTATTCTTTTAGTATAGTTTTAATATAATATATATCATAAAATGATAAATCAAGCCTTCTGAAACATGGAGTCAGATCCTCATATCCTCCCTCATCCTGGGACCCTGTGAACACCATCACAGAAGTATTTAACTTCCATAGGGCTGGGAATGTTGTCCTATAGTCCCTGAGCCCCTACAGACTGCTCAGGTGCAGCTGAGGCTGCAGAGGATGGTGGGGAAACCCAAAGGTTCCCTATGGCAAGGAATGGGTGAACATGGATTCTGCCCTGAGGGAACACCCCAATATTTGAGCTCTTCTGACCCCCCCAACAAGATTTTTCCCCTGTTGCACAAGGCCCCCAGGGCACCTCTCCCATCCCCAGTCTCTTGCTGGCTTTGTGGAGCACATTGCCTGCCCTGGTGGCTCTCAGCCATGCAAAGATTTGAGTGCATGGCTTGGAAGAACAGGGAGCTGGGCTGTTCCATCCCGGTGATTTACAGGCTAAAAAGATTGTTTGAATGCTAACAGCAACCCACTGCATCCACTTTCCAAAGGAATTCTCACACTGGCCCTCTGTGAGGAGCTGTGTAGCTTCCCAAAGGAGCCAGACATAGATTTTCCACCTCATAATACATAACATTTTGCAGAAAAAGCATCTGATGCTTCAGATGGAGGGATTTCCTCACAGGGCAATACTGACATGCAATTTCTTTTATTTTTATTTTCTGCAATAGATCTTGGGCAATCTCTCTTGGATTGAATTGACCCATGAACATGCAAGTGCCATAAGTGCACTGTCCTTTGGGGAAGGAAATGGGTGAGGCTTGTTTGGTCTGGATCTGCTTGTGGTGTGTGAAACAGGGAATTGGTTCCTGTATGGAACTGGCTTCAGGGTTTTGATCTTGCTCATCCCCACAGAAAGATAAGAGTGAATAAATCCAGTGCTCCCAGGAGCCAAAAGAGGCACCAGATGTGTTATAGAGCAAATAAAATCCAGAGTCATATTCTCACATCTGCTGGTTTGCACATATCAGTAACTCCCACAGGTTTAGAGATCTGCCTGAAAATCATCTCTGAGATGAACTGAGCAATTCAGATCCCTCTGGAGAGCTCAGCTCATTAAAAAAGGTGTTTGTACCACCCTGTGCACAAGGATGAATCAACCAGCTCCCCAGGGGAAGGACAGGCTTCAGAACCAGCACCAGTCCAGCAGCTCTCTCTGCTCTTGAAGAGTGACTCAAAGAGCCCCCTCAAGTGCATTAGCAACACGAAAGGTTTGGTTTAAATGGACACAGTGACAGAAGAGGAGAGAAACCAGCAGTGTCACTGCATGTGATATTGGTACTAATGTGATCTTCATGTCAGTGATGTTGAAAGAGCCTGGGTCAGAAATAGAACTACTTAAGTTCAGGCTGGATTTGATCTCTGATCTTTTCTGTTGTGAAATGCCTGGAAACCCAGATCCACACCCAAGGTACTTAGACTGGGCCCAAAAGACATTTAAATAATCCAGAAAGTGGATATCCTCATGCAAAAGACCTTACTAAGGCAAGAGTTCTGCCAACAAATCCATGTGACATTTATTTATCTGACCAACAGGTAGACAAGGCTTTGGAAGGCAGAGATGAATGCTCAGGGCTGCAGAACTCTTCAGGGGCTGGAATCCACAGCTGTCCTTGCAGGAACACTGAGAATGGTGGTGACAAATCAAGCTAATAAATATCTTCCCTAAGCACGATGCTCTGAAGTATTTAGTGTCTGATCTTGATGGCTGCTGGTTCCAAGGCCTAGGACTATGAAGCTGAATTTTCTGATCAGGGTGAAAGCAATCTGTGTTATTTAGAAGAGCTTGAGAATCTCACATCATTATTTCTCATGGAACAAATATAACACTGGGGCAAATGCACACACTCTCTGACCTGGGACTGCAGAGCAGACGCTTTCCATATCTGCAGAAATCCATCACTTGTTGCTACACAGAACCACAGTTTATTTCTCTTCTATTCCTAGTTGGCAGATTTGTATTTTTCCAGCTAAACTCTGAGAAAGGAGTTGTGATTTCACTCTATGAATCCCAACCTCAAAACACATGGTAGGATTTGTTTTAGAAATATTCCAGCAGGGAGGATAAATAATTGAGATAATGAACATGAGACAGTACCAGCATATCCTGTGACACCCAGTCTGTCTCCACAACAGACTGTCCCAGCACATCTCTCCCTTCCCATTCCTCCTTTCAGCTGAAATGCAACTGCAGGGATGGAAAATTCTAATGCAGAGAAGAGGTGGAAGACTTCACATGCTGGAAAATAACAACCCAGGTACTTTGTACCAGCTGTGACCCCCTTAACCCTGACACAAAGGTTGATATTTCAACCCATCTTTGATTAAAGATCAGCCTCCAGCACTGCAGCTTTGCCAACAGGAGATGATCTGAGCATTCCAGATCTGTGCTGAGCTTCCTGTCTGGATACACCCCTGAGAGTGACCTAAAGCAGAGAGTGATGACTTCAGGTTCCTTGTTAACCTGGCACCCCTGCTCTGCATAATTTCATTATTAAATAGTTGCACACTTCAGCTTCTCAAGCCTTCAAACTCAATTCCTAACAAGGACAGTGTGGTAACAGCCTGATACCAGCAGGGCTCTGATGATTTCAGCACAGTTATCACAGTGGCACTGAGGGCAGTAAAAGAGGAACCAGCCCAGCTTTCAGCATGGGGCACAGGTCAGTTTTGTGTGAGAAGGCAAAGAAACCTCCTGGCACCTCTGCCCCATTTCTCAGCTCTGACAGCCCACACTCATTTGTACACCCAGAGTCTCTGCAGAATAGTAAAAGAGCTTTTGGTTTCCCCACAGCCAGATGCTCAGTAGATATAAATTGCACAGCTCAACTGAAGTCAAGGGATCAAGGCTCTGTCTCTCTTTTTCTTGATGGATTGCTCCAAAATTTGTGTTTCAGAGGGGAGGCAGAGGAGGTGGTTTATAGCATATGAAAGGGGGAGAACTCTGGAATCACAAAGCCTTTGTTTAAACAAATAAAGTCTTTGCAGCCAGTTTTTTTTTCAAGACCATATTTTGCTATTACAAGAAACTTCAACCTTGCAGTGCAATGGGGCATAGCACACAGGCAGGCCCAGGGACTGAGAATCACATCTGCAGCTCATGCTTCAACCTGCTCAGACTCCAAACAAGGCACTTCCCTCCTCCCAGGATCACTTTCCTTTCATCCATTGTTAGCTTAATGTAAAAGCTTAATGTAAAGGCTCCAAGGTCAAAGAATGAAAAAGGACCAAATGTGACATATATGCAGAGGAACAAATAAAATATTAATTTTTGTGCCACAACTTGCCTGGCAGCTCTTCCCTCTCCATCTGATCTAGTCCAGCACTTCCATTGCATGGCCATGCACAGAGGACAGGCTGGGTGATCCCCAGCAGCAAACCAGGGCAGGGCAGCAAACCAGAGCTGCCAACAGGACATGCTGGAGCTCTGGGAAGGGAACAGCAGCTCCATGGAACTGAACACAACAGCTCTCAGTGAGCAGCAGCTGCAGCATCAGCTCCTGCAGCAGCACAGCCACGGCCCTGACACATCAGTGACACAGCTCGAGAAGGTCCAGCTG